AACCCCCCTATAATGATAAAAATCCACCCAGTGTTTTTTTTTTTTTAAATCTGTTTAAAAGTTTACCCCTTTCTCAAATCAAGCCGATCTCAGATGCCTTTCTTAATAATGTGCTAATTAGCAAGTTTCAAGATGAACGCGGCTAAAGTAAACAGTCTCTCTGAGAGCAGCTCGGAAGAGAGGTCAGCAGAGCTCATTAACATTTAAAGGAAAACGCTACAAAAACGGCTTGATCTGAAAAGAGCTGTTTTTGACAGGGAAAAACAGGTGTTTTTACACTACCATTGAGAAATTTTAACCAAACTATGTTACAGACTTTTCATTAAGACCCTAAAGAATCATAGCAACTTGTGGAAAATGGGCATCATATGACCCCTTTAAGGCTCAAGAAACATTTACTATTATTATCAATGTTGTAAACTTGTATACTAATATTTATATGGAAACCATGATAGAATTCTTTTTTGGGATTTTTACATCGGGATTCATTCATACAAGTTGAAAAGAAGAGCAGTTATTTGAAATAGAAATCTTTTGTAGCATTATAAATGTCTTTACAGTCTCAATGTAATGTGTCATTGATGTTTCCAAAGTATTATTATCTTTTAATCTTTTAAATAGCATCGTATCATGGTTTTTGCGAAACATTTGAGCAGCTAAAAATAAACATTATTTGTAGACTAAAACTGTAACTATATTATATCAACATTTTCAACATAATAAAAATAAATTATCTTGAGAACCAATTCAGCATATTAGAATGATTTCTGAAGAATCATGTGACACTGAAAACTGGAGTAATGATGCTGAAAATTCAGCTTTGATCACAGAAATAAATTACATTAAAAAATATATATATATATATTCATTTTAAAATATTACTGTCTTTACTGTAAATTATTCAAATGAATGCAGCCTTGGTATAAGGATAAGAGACTTCTTTCAGAAAAAAAAATTATTATTATTCCAAACGTTTTACCCTGTATATACTGTATAAATAATGCCATTATAAATATGTATATCTTCCTTTCTTGTAAACACCATTCATATGATAATCCAAATTATGTTCACAGAGAACAATAATGAGTGTTAGTCATAGAAACGACTAACGCCCTCAACACATGACAGTTATGAGTGTGCGTAATCTAGGATTAGGTCAGATCTGTGAGTAATGATATGAACAGCTGATTAGAGAGCCTTTGATAAACACGTGTGTAGTGATTGCTAATCTTTTTTATTTGCTGGCTCATAATTATGCTTGGCATCTGTCTTGCATTTGTGTTTATTAATAGACATATTTATTATGTTCTCACAAACCGCATGAAGAAAGACAGAGTTTTTCTTCTGTGTGTTTTTTTTTTTTATATCTGAAGCAGTTCAACAGTAAAACCAGAGACGGCTTCACAGTTAACTCTAAAGTGCCCAGTCTGAAGGATCCTGGGAAAGAATACGACGGATTCACCATCACCATCACCGGAGATCGGTGAGAATTAAACTATTCTGAAATATGATGCCTTCACAGTTCATGCTCTTTGGTGTATTTTCGGTTTATGGGATGAAGCAGGCCATGTTTTGAATTATCACAGCTTCCATATGCAGCTGTGTGAAGGGCTTTCTGGAGGTGAAGATTATTAATATGATGATTAAGTTGGTGTATGTAACGGTATGAAAATTTCTTATCACGATTATAGTGACCAAAATGATCACGGTTATCAGTATTATCACGGTATTGTTAAAATGTGCTGGAGATGTTCAAAAAGTACCGACACATAAATCACTTCACCAAGTTTTATATTTAAAAATCAACAAACAACAAATAAAATGACTTTTTGTTTGCATAATCACTAAAACAATAACATTACCAATGTTGTGCGGATTTAAATGACAACATGACTGACAACAGTTTAATAGCATGTTGAAATATCTAATGTAAATGTTCAAATAAAGCTTTGAAAAAGTTTAATTAAAAGGTAAACCTCACATTTCAGCCTTTAACTAAAGAAAAGATGTCAAAATGATAATTGATTAATACATGATTACCAGAGGTACATTCATATAATTAATTAATTAATATATTCATTTGTATGATTCCCTTAGCACTCTTTTAAAACCTCCCAGCTTTTCCTCCATGTTTTCACTCAAAACGAAACTAGTTGTTCAAATCGCGGTAATCTAATACGGTTTTAATGATAATTAAAAGATGAAACGGTAATACTAACTGTGGGGAATTTTATCATGATTTATCGTCAAACCGGTAATCGTTACATCCCTACTGTGAAGCCTTTGTTGATGATTACACCAACAAATCAATCAAATGAGTTTTGATGGCCAAAGTGGTCGTGTAATGACTGTTGGTCAATGCAACAAATTTGCGTCACCCACTTGAACCTATTATGAAGTGTATTATGAGTCTCATCTCCCATTCCCTTTAAAAGCCAGTTGCGCTCGTGCCATGGCGGATTCGCTATTTACACGGCGGGATTTACAAGCAGAAAAACTGAACGCATCTCTAGCAAGTGGTTCTGCTTGTGCGCGTAATTCTGATTCATGCAATGACTATCCATTATGACATGTAGGCATTTTATATTTATGTACACAATAATAATCTTTTACATTTTAATCCTTGAATTTTTTTTAAATGTTTGTGTGCTGCTGGGCATCCCTGTGTGTGTAATAAGCAGAGTGTACTTGCATTGTGCATTCGCCTATTGGCACATATTACTAACGCGCTCTTTAAATAACAACCAAAAAAAATAAATTGCGCCATACTTTAGACCAGGTTTTTGTTGATCAATGGCGCAGTCTATTTCAGTTGCCTCAAAATAGCAATGTGCCAGCAATGCGCCTGAACACACCTCGTTTTCAGACCAGCACGCCCATGGGCGCACAAATGGGCGCAAATGCATTTGCTATTTAAACAAAGTGGCGCAGGACGTGAAAATGATAACTGCATCGGGCTGAAACTAGCAAAAAACACTTGCATCGCGCCTGGCGCCGCATTGCGCTGGGTGTATGATAGGGCCCTTAGAATTGTGAGTTTAGCCTATATGTCAGAATTGCGAGATGTAAACTCAAAAAGTCAGAATTGTGAGATAAAAAGGTTGCTATTACCTTTTTTAAATGTTTTTATTCAGTGGCGGAAACAGGCTTCCATAAAATACCCAACTAAATTAAATTAAACAATGTTAACTAAACTTATAATTTTAAATCAAGCGCGAACATTTACTTTAAGTTGAAACAAAACATTATTACTTGTTCTTTTAAGTTGTAATAAATAATCGCAGCAATATATATATATATATATTTTTTTTTTTACAGTGAATATAAATATGTGCTACGTCATGCTAAAACCCTCTCATGGCAGTTCCATCTCTAAATCATCCCCTTTAATGAAATATTGAAGCTAAATTGTTTTTTATTTATTTATTTGATCTACATAAACGTATCAACTTAAGTAATAAAGTAGTCAACTGTACCGTTTTAGTTCTTACACGTTTCGTAGCACAAACAATGTATAAAGGCTGTTTAGCAAGTTTTTTTTTGATTACTTGATTATAGTTTCGAGCCTTATTTTGTGTCTTATGCTAATGTTTTTTTTGTTGTTTGTGTGTTAGAGTGGGGAACATGCTGTTTTCAGTAGAGACTCAGACCACAGATGAGAGGACGCAGCAGTATCAGTCAGAAATTGAAGCGCTCTATAAAGATCTCACTGCCAAAGGCAAAACACTGATGCTCTCCACTGAACTCGGGGTAAGATTAGCATCTGTCTGTCTCTGCTGAACATCGATTTCACAATCTCCTCTGTCTCCTGCTGAACCTGTAGTGTGACTGCTGGCGTGTGTTCATTAGTCACGTCTCTTGAAGCAAATAAATTCAGCATCACGTAAACGGTTCAGGAATCTGCACCTGTCTGACCTGTTACACAGAGAATCATGGGAGATCTGTGACCTGTGTGTCTCGTCTCTCACACATGCACACATGGAGAGACCCACATACACTGTTACACCCAGATGTCTTTGCCTGTATCTTTATATTACTGCATAGAGCAGCACACAGCATTTGAATTTCATGAGCAAAAACTAAGGCTTAGTGCATTCATTTAGTGTGATTAATTAATCTGTACATAGTTTCCATAAAACAAAATCCACTATTTTGCACACTTATTTTAATAAATGTGCTTGGTAAATCTTTCTGCACTCATTGCACTGTAAGTTGCTGTGGATAAAAGCATCTGCCAAATGCATAAATTACATATATAAAGCAAATATAAACATAAAATATAAAGTTAACCTGCTGATTTTTTTACTGTCATTATTACCACCATCAAATCCTTATGAATATTTGGAACCATCGGTCCTCCAATTTAATAACTATAGAACACAGACCACAGTCAGAGCAACAAAGCAAGAAGAAAAATAAATAACATACAACCTTAATATGTTATGTGTTAGTAGTATTTTTTTGCCTTTCTCTCTCTCTGTCTTTGTAGGACGCAGATACTGTGTGTAATTTAATTCTTTCTCTGGTGTATTACTTCTGTAACCTCATGCCACTCTCCAGAGGCTCCAGGTAAGAAAACAAAAAATCGTAAATAGGTGGTTGCTAGGGTTTTAGGAAGTTAAATTGATACTTTATACATAATTAGTAAAATGGCATTAAAAAGGGTAATTGCTTTTATTAGTTTAGCAAAGTTTATTTTTTTAATCCATGTCATCAGCTGTTAATATTGAAAGGTATACTTTTTAAACGGATTAAAATAGAATGAGAAAAATGATTGCATGTTTAGAAATATAATTTAAAATCCCTGTTTTACATTAAAGGGATAGTTCACCCAAAAATGAAAATTCTGTCATTAATTACTCACCCTCATATCGTTCCAAATCCGTAAGACCTTCGTTCATCTTCGGAACACAATTTAAAATATTTTTGATGGAATCTGAGAGTTCCCATAGACCGCAAGGATACTACCACGATCAAGGTCCAGGACATCATTAAAACAGTCCATGTGACATCAGTGGTTCAACCTTAATTTTACGAAGCTACGAGAATACTTTTTGTGCGCAAAGAAAACAAAAATAACGACTTTATTCAACAATTCGTCTCCTCCGCGTCACCCTGGTGCCATTTTGACAGTGTAAAGAAATACTCTTTGAGAGAAGCAGTCAATCAGTGGAAGTTAAAAGCAGATCGAAAGTGTATTTATTTCTTGTCTCATTAGTGTTTAGCGCAGTTGTCATTGCTGGGAAACGCTTGTTTTGTTTACTGTGTTGAAACGTGCTGAAGTTGCGTTTGGTCTCGTACTGTATCGCATACCTTGTCAGTGTCGTGCGCTTGCTTAGCCCTTTGTTGTGATAAACAGTAAAATGTGTTCAGCTGAATTCAATTTCCGTTTTGTCAAACGGGTATAAAAAAGGTTAGTACACCGCGGCAGCGGTCGCAACAGCCCTTGTGTGAAGCCCTCCTCGTGTATAGACCGAAGAGTGTAAAGACCATCGACTCCACCGGGCAGGGACACGGGCAAGGGACATAATATCGCTTTTGATTCATCCTCTTTTTTACACCTTGCTTCACTTCTGTTTCAGTTTTAATGACCAACTCTTACTATGTGTTTCCATATCCCTACTATTACTACCACTCGCAAATCACGCATCACACACTATAAGCAGCGCAATCCTAACAACCTGCGCACCTTGTCTATGTCTGCTAATACACTACTTTCTTTTTCTATTGGTCTCTGGAATTGTCAGTCCGCAGTAAACAAAGCAGATTTCATTACATCTATTGCTAGTCATTCAAGACTAAACCTCATGACCCTGACAGAGAAGTGGATCAAACCAGAGGACACTGCTACTCCTGCAGCACTCTCCAATAATTTCTCTTTTTCCCACACTCCCAGTCTAACTGGAAGAGGTGGAGGTACTGGTATGCTTATCTCTAATGATTGGAAATGTATTCCTTTACCTTCTCTGGGTATTAACAGCTCCTTTGAATCACATTCAGTCACTATTACC